TGGCTAAATTTACAGCTTTACTTTTTATGGCCTTTGCAAAGCAAACATAACGATAGCTGTTAACATGCAGTTTTTTGGGGTGCTTTATAAACAAACAAAAGAGCCGCCATGCCATTCTCAAAAATGGCTTCTTTTGTTTGATTAGGTCTTTTAAACACCTCGACAGCTTGCCTGAAAGTGGAATCAAGGGATAATTTTGTTTCGAAGGATGTGAATATCCTTTTTTTCCCGTGATTGTAAAAGCAGGAGGTTGTATCGCACCCTGAAAAAGCATGTAAAAACAAAATGTTGTTTCGACAGAAGGGATATTTGTCTAAGCTGTTCGTGGAATATACCGTTTGGCGTTTATTTCCCTTACCCAATTTTAGGAAATAAATTTTTTTCTCCGGTGGAGTGAGGCCTACTGCAAGGGTCAGAACGTCAACGTCCTCGGACACTATTACAGCTGGTGAATGACGAGCTGTTAGCGCAGTGTTAACAATTAGAACATCCGCGTCATTACGAGCCTGTTCAACTGCGAAATTTGCTCCCAACAAGGCGGTCTTCAAAAGTCCAATTAACCTAGTCTTGTTGTGCGAATTCGACAGAAATTTGTCCTGTGTGACGGTGACGTTCATGGTCAAATCAAAATGAATATCGGAGCATGAATTTTTGTTCGACCTACGAAGGCGCTCCAAACCCTTAATACTACTGCAATTATTCTCGTAGCCGTCAAAAACAATTGTACATTTTTCGCCAAAATGTGTTTGTATATAGTTTACATACTTCAGAAGTATTTCGGAGTATTTGTCATTCTGATGCCATACTACCCTGGAGGAGCATACCACCGTCAATCACGAACGAACAATTTTCTGTGGGGAGTTGGATTTCTTCAGGCGTGAACAAATCGAAGATGGACGATTTCACGGTTTTCCTCAAGGCACCATCCAAGAATAGTGACAAGGGGTAGGGAGAAAGTTCCCATTTGAAATGTTCTTTCAGCTCCTCTTCGTTTTGCTTTGTGATACAGATTCTTTGGAAGAGGAGCATCGGATCGAGTGGTATCACATCGTCTTGAATTCTCACCTTGCTATTTACGGTAATTAGCGGGACTACGCGATCTCGACGTTTGAGGGACAATTTGTGGAAAGGGGTACCAACTATTTTTTTCAAACTAGCCTCGCCAATTTCACGTGCTTGGAAGCAATTTATAGAATCGCCTCCAATAACTCCCGTAACAATCGACCTGATGGTCTCATCGAACGGAAATGGTTCGTGGCAGTCAAAAAATTCGGAGAATTTCTTCAGATCGTCATTATCCCGAACAATTCGTGCATCTCTTGCGTCGACGTGTTGGTTGGATGTCACGAATTTGACACTGCAAAATTCCTCAATACTTTCGCAAATGTCGTAGGTAACAGGAATTCGGGAAATAAATTGGTTACTGATAACGGAATTGAATCCGCGGTCGATAATGCCTCCAGTAACTTTTATTAACCTCATGAGATCTTGCTCAATCAGTAAAGTTGCCAGACCAAAATTTAGCCGTTCGCCTGACAGTACAAAAGCCACGATCGATGAACTTCTTGTACTCTTCTACTTCAGCGGTATGCTCACTTCCTGAAGACAAAGACATGTTGTCCATTTGTTGGATATATGCTCGCATATCCTGGACATAATAGTGGGCCGCTTTAGCGTAATGGAGGTGTCCCGATGCATGAAAAAATGGCAACATTTTTTCAATTAAGATCAACTGCAATCTCAGGTCCCCCATTTTTTCCGAACGAATGAAACTTTTCGCTATTCCTACCATCCGTACGTACTGGATCCACAATTTCGCTGTTTTTCCTCGTTTCTCAATTTCTTCCATTTTTGACGTGAATTTCGAATTTGCTGTCGTGAAAACGGCAGAATCGTCGATTCTTGCGTAATCAGGAGGATTTTCCGTGAAACATAGAAAGTAGTCTGTCATTTTTTGTTTTTCAATGTCAGACAGATCAATTTCTGCCATAATTTTATGACACAAAGCCAAGTACACTAGAGTGTGTGCTCGTATGGCTCTTGCGTAAGCGTGACCTGCTAGCATTTTATCAACCGAGTTTTTGGCATAACAGAGACTAAAAATTTCATTCAAACCCGTGCCCGCCATTATGAAACCAACAGCACCGAAATACGACATCAGAAGATGAAATCCGCCAAGACGAGGCATAATAGTGTTCAAAGTATTGTCATTGTGACATGAATGAACGATTTGGACTGCCTTCTGATACAAAGGCAGATCAAACGTGACAAATAGTTTATGCATGCTCAGAGACCGAGACAAAGTAGCAGCATGTTTAAGGACTGTAAAAATAGTATTTACATCGCTTGGTGGGTAATTGACGAATGGTGAGCGGGCAAATCCTGCTCACAGTGAAAGGTAACTTTTCTGTCAATTTACCCATAAAATCGTTCCACCTAGGAATTTTTTCAGGCAACGAGAATTTACCGAGAATCTACATAAAATCAGCGTTGGAGATAATATTTGTATGTACATCGGGTCGAGACATCTCCAACAACCAGTTGTTCATAATTCCCCCCACTCGAATTGTCGAAAGTAAGAAAAGGAATTTTCGCGATCTCTGTGAGTTCCGATGCTTTAACGCGAGATTTACGTCATTGAACGCGTTCACGTTTCTCCACAGAATTGGCTGGTGTTATTACTCGAATGCCACCCATACTGTGAAAAGTATTTGCTCCGTCTATCGTGTTTGTATTGAAATCTGCGTTATCGAAAACGAACTGACAAAATGTTTCAGGTTTAAATCGCAATTGACAATTGAGAGTCGTGCAATCTTGGTAGTGGCAAGCTTCGGCGTACGAGCAGCACACCCCCAAGTGATTCAGTATATCTATAATTTTCTTGAAAGCGAATTTCCTATGAAGCATTACCGCTATTCCGATTTGTAGTTAGTGGAGCGCCTGGGGGTTTTGACCTCGGAATTCTCTAAGAGTGAATGAATTTATATGGTC